GGAGGGAGGGAGGGAGGGAGGGAGGGGAGACAGTGCCCATGGGTCAAGTCTGATGACCTGGGTTCAGTTCTAGGAACCTGCATGGTATAAAGAGAGAGCTGACTCCTGCATATTGTTTTCTGGATTCCACATGCGTCCATACACATACAAATAAATAAATAAATGTAGAAGAATGCAAGGGCATTGTGGCACATGCCTCTAAATCCCAGCACTCAGGAGGCAGAGCTAGGGGCATCTCGGTGAGATTGAACCCAACCTGGTCTAAATAGTGAGTTCCAGGCCAGAGATCCTCTCTTAAAAAACCCAAACCAAAATAATAATAATAATAATAATAATAATAATAATAATAATAATAAGCCAGGCATCTGTGGCACACACCTTTAATCCCAGCACTCAGGAGGCAGAGCCAGGTGGATCTCTGTGAGTCTGAGGCCAGCCTGGTCTACAAAGCGAGATCCAGAACAGGCACCAAAACTAAATGGAGAAACCCTGTCTTGAAAAAACAAAATGATGATGATGATGATGATGATGATGAAAGGGAGGGAGAGAGGGAAGGTGGGAGGAAGTGGGGCTGGGAGTGTAGCTCAGTGGTAGAGCATTTGCCTGGCCTGTGTGAGGCTCTGGTTCACTTCCCCAACACCACCTCAACAACAGAGACCAACCCCACAGACACCCCACAGACACACTGGTAACCATAGGCCTTGGAGGGAGGAATTTCTCAGTTGCAAAAGGAGCCTCCACATGAAACAAGATGTCTGTGGGTGGATGCTTCAAGTGATAACACACAAATGCACAAGGTGTGTGCAAGCCAGTAAGGGACAGAGAGCTTGTGTGGACAAAGGACATCAGAGCCTCACACTCTTCCTGCGGTGTCTGAGGCAGTTCTGGAACCAGCTGGCTCTCTGTGACAGACGATAAGGGTGGCCACACTTGTTCCTGCGTCTATACTTATGTTAGCATTGTCTTCCTCTTTCTGCCTTTAAAATGTAGGTGAGGCTATGAAACGCACACTGGCCATGTTCTAAGCAGAAGAGGCTCCAGAGAGAATCCTCAGAATTGTTCGCTAAATGTCTTTTGCCTGCCTCTGCAGCCATGATGCTCACGCCAGGTGTTCTTTCATGATGGCCAGGCCTTGAGGTTTTTCTCTTCTGATCGGTGGGCCAGATTGGGTGTGGTCAATAACGAATCCTGAGGGCTGAAGAGTTTGCTCAGTGGCTAAGGGCACCTGTTATACGTGCAAAGGAACCAGGTTTGATTGTTAGCATCCACAGGGCACCTTGCGATGGGCTCTAACTCCAGCTCCGGGGAGCTAAACACCATCTTCTGATCTCCATGGTACCACACACATACATACAGGCAGGCAAAACCCCCATGCATATAAAATAATAACACTTAAGGAAAAAAAGAAGCCCTGATTGATTTAACTGCTAAGATTGAGAGTTGTATCCAAAATACAGTGTATCCTTGCCTAAATACCTACACTCCATTTCTTCCTTTGTGCATTCGTGTGTGTGTGTGTGTGTGTGTGTGTGTGTGTGTGTGTGTGTGTGTGTAGGTCAGAAACCAACTCCATCATACTCCACCTTATTTCTCAAGATGTGATCTTTCACTGTTTCTGCCAGCCTGGCTAGCTAGTGAGCTCTGAGAATTTAGCTGTCTCTACCTTCCAAATACTGTGTGTGGTGTGGGGACACTGTTTTTCAATATGAGCCACTGATGAAGAGATACAGGGGTGCTGGGGATCCAAACTCTGGTTCTCACGCTTGCATAGCAAGTGCCTCACCCACTGAGGCGTCCCCCCAGACCCCTGTGCAGTCTCTCCCCCTGCAGTTTCCCTCCACTTCTCCGCCCACCTCCTTCCCCCTTCTCCTCCCTCCCTCCTCCTTCCCTTCCCCCTCTCTCTTCCTTCCCCTCCTCCCTCTCTTTTTCTCTCTCTGCTATTTCTGTGGTCAGCTCCATCCTCTTTCCCCCTGGACTCTAGGAGGATTTGGTCTCCACTTGTATCTTCTTCTGGTTTCTGCTCACACAGCCCTTCTGCTTGCTTGGCCTTCTCCCGTGGGCTGAGCTCTGCTCTGCTGCCCTGCCTCTGACAGCGTCGTTCTTCTGGGCATCTTCATGTAGAGAGGCAAAGGAAGACCCTGGCTCTAGCTCCTCTCTTCAGATCATCAGACGGCCACCCGAGCTGTCTCTTCGTGCTAAGTATGGATCCCAAAGAGCTCTCTGGTGAAGGAGACAAGTATGCAGACGGCATCACATGACTCAAAACTTAGCACCTGCTCCAGACGTGGGCAGGGCGTGGCCACCTAGAAGAGACTAGGAGCAAGCATACCTCAGACCACCCTCCACCCCGCCCCACCCCCACGCCCCCGCCCCAGAGCAGAGAGATGAGAAGGATACAGGATGCATTTGGTTAAGCATGAGATCATGTTAACCTCCCATCTCTAAGATGCTAAACATCTGGCCGAAACAAGAGCAGTGTAACCGAACATCTGGATACTCGCTCTGCACAGCACGGAACAGCTGCACGCTTGGCAGCATCTGCGTAAGGAACTGATGGGGGTCTCCTCTGTGTGCTTAACATCACATTCATGCTTTCCTTTGCCTTGTAACCAAAAACCAGACCTAAACTGGTTTAAATTTTAAAAGGGAAATGCTTAGCTTACTGGGCTGAGGAGCCCCAGGACAAGGTCGACTCTGGCTCTTGGAAAGTGTTAATCTAGCCGCTGAGTAGACGCCCCGTGGACTCTGTTTCTTAGTTCCCTGCCGGCACCTTTGCCGCCTCCCTGCCCCAGACAGGGTCCCCTGGGTGGTCCCACACAGACCGCCAGAAGCCTGCTCTTGTTCACATCAGAAAAGTGGGATCGCATTGACCCCAGCACTCCTAGCAAAGGCCTCAGCGTCTCTTCTGATCGGGCAGGACTGGGTCATACATCCCGGCGGATCCAGTCTCTGTCACCAGAGGTTCCTGGATGCTGGCTTAGTTGTCTGCTCCGGCTGAGAAACAGATGGAAGCAGCATCTTCAGAACTTCCAGAAATCGAGCTGGAACGTGACAGGGAGAGGTAAGGGGCATGGTACAGGAGAGGACGGGTACACCTCCAGCCTGGCACAGGGGTGGGGCTAAGATGTGGCACCCAAGGAGCGAAGGACACAACTGAAAGTGTCACCCCCTCACCAGAGACCGTGGGCTGACTCTGCCCTTCTTTTTTTTTTGGGGGGGGGGGTTCGAGACAGGGTTTCTCTGTGTAGCTTTGTGCCTTTTTCCTAGAACTCACTTGGTAGCCCAGGCTGGCCTCAAACTCACAGAGATCCGCCTGCCTCTGCCTCCCCAGTGCTGGGATTAAAGGCGTGCGCCACCACCGCCCGGCGACTCTGCCCTTCTTATTGTTAGTTTTCCAAAATGCATCCAGTTAGTCAGTATGTAGGCATGCATGTGGCATGGTACATGTGGAGAGATCAGCTGGCAACTCGCAAGAGTTGGTTCTCTTGCCCCACATGTGGGAGCTGACTGAACTCGGGTTACCCAGAGTGGGGGCAGGTGCTTTTATCTACTAAGCCGGTGGTTCTCAACCTTCCTAATGCTGAGACCCTTTAATACAGTTCCTCGTGTTGTGGTGAACCCCAGCCATAAAATGGTTTTGCTATTAGTTACCTCATAACCGTAATTCTGCTACTGTGTTGGGTGGTAACGTAAATATCTGACGGGCGGGATATCTGCTGTGTGGGGTTGCGACCCACAGGTTGAGAACCACTGCACTAAGCCAGCTTACAGGCCTGGCTCTGGCCTTCTAAAATCCTGAGAGTGGTGTACCCCCTCCCACTGTGTACCCCAGCTGTACCATCGGCTTCCCTCAGTGCCAGCCCCGACTGACTGCACAGAAGACTCTCCAAGACTTGCTGACTTGAAACAAAAAACATTGGTTCTGTGGAGGTTTCTGCGGGCCAGGAATCTGAGAGTGGTTTACCTGGGAGAAGTGGCTTGGGGTCCGTCGGGAGGGGCAGTCCTGATGTCAGCGGGGGCTTCGGTCGTCTGAAGGCGTTGCCGGGCTGGAAGATCAACTTTTAAAACGGCTGTTGGCAGAAGGTCCTGGTCCCACCTCCAAAGGGCTACTAATATATATGCCTCCTGGGCTATGGTAGCTGTCTCCCCCAGAGCAAATGATATGAAGAGAAAGGAATGAGCTGTATTTCCTTTTATGACTCTCTCTTAAAACTCACACCCTGAGCCGGGCATGGTGGCGCACACCCTGAATCCCAGCACTCCGAGAGGCAGAGCCTGGTCTATAGAGTGAGTTCCAGGACAGCCAGGGCTACACAGAAAAACAGTGTCTCAAAAAAACCTAAAGAAACAAAACAAACAAGCCATGCCCCATCTCTCAGCTACTGTCAATTAGAAAGAAGTCACTGAATCCAGATGTAATCTGCCCTCTGAAAGGAATGCCAAGGAGTTTGTCGACCTCTTTAGAGGTGCCACATGAGGAAATGACAGCATGGGTGGATCACTATAGGTGCCCTGAGGACATGGTAGTGCACACATGTAAGCCTGGCACTTGGGAAACGGAGAGAGAAGGATTGCAAGTTCAAAGCCAACCTGGCTACTTGGTAAGACCCTGCTTCAAAAAGCAGGGAGGGCTTGGGACTGGGGCTGTAACTCAGTTAGTAGTAGAATGCTTGCCCAACAAATAAAACTCCCAGGGCTAGAGGGATGGCTCAACGGTTGAGAGCACTGACTGTTCCTCCAGAGGAGCCGGGTTCAATTCCCAGCACCAAATGGCAGCTCACAACTGTCTGTAACTCCAGTTTCGGGGGATCCAAAATTTTCCATGGCGAAACACTAACATATATAAAATAAAAAACAAAACAAATAAAACTCCCAAAAGAATTATGACTTCTTTACTTCCCACTGTCTAAGGGATATATAACATATTTTG